GCAAGGACAATAATCGATCTACTCCAAACCGGACCCGGACGCTTACACTTGCATTACAACTCTTCTTGTCGAATGACATCCTCCAGTTCAACTTAAAGTTGTTTCTCCAACGTCATTAGCCGAGCAATGGGGTGGCGGCTACGCTGTATTCCACATACGGGCTAGCAACTTCTTCTTACGTTGAAAAATATTCCCAAACACATTGGTGTTCCACCCGGAGGCCCACACAGAGAAAGATTCCGCTGCGACCAAAATATCCCGAGAGGAGGACCACGAGTCGCGCACCAAATCTTTAAAGTCTGGATGAAGCATGAACGCCGCCAGAAACCTAAACGGCTTCTGTCCTGAAGGTGGAGCAAGTTGCCAGCCAACTCCCAACATAAGAGATGTGTGGTCTGATTGAATTCTAGGTAGAGCACAAGACTGACTCATCTCAAATTTTTCGAGCCAGGGTATATTGGCAAGGAATCGATCAAGCCTATCAGCCAACTATTCCATGAAGTGAATCACGATACCACGTGAAACTATGTCCATCCGTTGCCACTTCTTGGAGGCAGTTATCGAAAACCAATTCGGCGTAGTCCTGGCTCACATTGCAAAAAGCTGAGGATCCCCCCATCTTCTCAGAACGGCGAAGCAAACAATTAAAATCTCCACCGATGACCCATGGCTCCGAGATGCCCGACGCCAGCCTGTGCAAGTCAAGCCACAACGGCTTACGGGTTGATGCCCTAGGGATGGCATAGACAAACGAGATTAGGCAGGTGTCCAAATTTTTCAACGCCCGAACATAGACCATCTGTCGGGAGTAACATAGAACATCAATCTTCACCTTATCCGTCCACAAAATCCAAGTACCTCCGAAAAAGCCTTAAGCTTCGATACGGAATGAGTTATCAAATCTACTGAACCTCACGAACTTGTCAACATTCTCGCAACTAATATGTGGCTTGTAAAGGGCCACAATGTCCGGTCTGTACTGATTAATAAGGGTAGAAAAGGCTCCCCAAAAAGCGAGCGAGCCTGCCCCCTGGACATTCCATGAGAAAATATTCATATGGAGACGATACACGGATAAACGAAGCGCTCAAAATTAGTCCAAATTATGGACCTGCATGTCCGAACCTTCGTCCGTGCAATCACGATCATGCGGGCTTTCTACCGAATCCCCAAGGGACGTCGGGTCCTCCGGCCAGGGGTCCTGATGTCGGATGAGTTGCTCCCCCTCAACTGTAGGTGTGTCCTCATCTGATATCACATTTGAAGTGTTCTAAGGGTATCCATTGAGCTGCTCTGGTTTTTTGTCAGTCACATTTAAGGCTCGGTGTTTGGTCGGGTCTAGCCCAGCGCTCACTCGGATCGTCCCAGCATGAGTCAAAGGGAACACATGGATGGTGTAACTAGTACTGCTTGCAGTTGCGTTGGTGCCATTTTTCAGTCCAATTTTTGAGGTTTGGGCCACCGCTTTAGAATGATCAGATTTCCCCGCGGGCATAGCTCTTTCTTTCAGATCCCCTTAAAGCTCTTATTCGCATAACAACGTTCTTAGCCCGCTCGTTGTTCTTCGCTCGTCCCGGTGCCACTTGCCATTCTTTATCACCCTTATCTTTCTCTTTAGTGGTAGGAAACTCAACCCCCACCTTATCCGGGGCCGCCGAGGAGGTCCCAAACTCGAACACATGATTAGAGACCCTCCCACCTTCTTTGGTTAAGAGATTGAAGCGAGATCCTGACCCCATACCAGTATGCGTATTTTTGGTGGGGTGTGTTTTATCCGTCCCATTTTTGCGCTTCGTGTAAGGTTGACGTTGGCATTGAGGGACTTGGATCCAAGGGCCATACATTTATTCCCCAACCGTGCCCGTCGGCCTGCACGGGCTGACTGCTGGCACGCTGCTACCGCTGTGTGCAGGCAGCGCGGCCACGACCGGCCCTTGTCGGCCGTTCGGCGACTTCTCTCGACCAATTCAACATGAACCAACATGATATAACATGACATGATCCTAACCACAGGACAACGTGCGTGCATGCCCGTGGGGCGTCCCGCATAGCCCTGCCCGCAGCACTCGTCCGTTGGCAGTGCCTGTCCACACTGACAGGCCATCGCGCACGCCAGTGCGCGCGTGATGAGGATCGTGTGTTTCGACTGCCGATAAGCCGCTAACCCGCGCCTTGAATCGCCGATAGTGTTTCTCTAGCCACAACCGCGCCTATTGAAACGATAAAATTACAATAGTATTCTGGTGAAAAGACTAAAGCAAAGTTAGAAGAACAAAGTTCTAGATTTCTATTGACTTCTTGGATGATTGAATTGATAAAAATAACATAGGGGAAGGGGCCTTTATATAGGCACCAACTAGATATAAGTCTATTCTACCTAGGGAACTAAT